GGTTTTATATCAGAAGACGGCGTTAACAACTTCAATTACAATTTTTTAAAATCACTCAATAATTAGTTGTTCATAAGCAAATTAACTGAATTAATACTAGTAAATTTTTTTTACATTTGAAAAATACAAAATAATAATTTAGAAAAATATAAATTAAAAAAAAGAAACCTTTTCTAAAAAAATATTTTATTGATTATAAGCGCCAGTAATCAACCAAGATTGGGCCATTACTAATAGCCAATGCTTGGCCGAACACTGGCAGTTGGACATCGGCCGATCTACGGCATTTTTTCCATCGACGGCGACTTCGTATGGGACTTTCCCTTCATATAATGAATCATTGAATAGTTGCTGGCTCCTAATTATTGTCTGGAAAAACTTGGGGTATGTTTTCTTAATTTCCTTATACCTTTTGTCCTGAAAAGGACAGTTATCAAAATTTCAGGTATAGTTTTTGTCTTGAAAAAGACAGATAAAAACGTTCCCACGTTAAACCTTTTGTCCTCAAACACACTAAATTGATTTCAACTTTCTCTTAGGCCAAATTATATCCAACCAAATCAACCGTAATACAAAAGAATCACCTAAGAAGAGTACAATTCTTATGAAATCTAGAATTTAACGTATTAACAGGACAAAGTGATTTAACGATTTTATTTTTAATTGTAAATCTTTTTAGAGTTGTAAACCTTATGTTCATAAAACATTTGCGGGCCCTGAAAAGGGCCCTAAACAAAAATAAATGAACCCATAATAGTAGGAATGTAAATGGTTGGGATAGTATCTAAAGGAAAGGTTATTAAACGAATTATTTTCTAATATGTATTAGGACGATTAAAAATAATTTTAGGAAATTTCTGTTCTTTAAGGACAGACTGAATTTATTATTGGTATGGAAAAACGGGGGGAGGGGATTGGGATGTAATAGGAATAGGAAATAAGGGAATTATAAAATAAGAGAATTCAAACGAAATAAAATGGATGAAATTATAATGTAGGACAAGGAATGAAAACAATTTGTTGTTGCTGTTCTTCTTATTCTTCTTTTTCTGAACGTGTTCTTCTTTAAAAACATTTCCTCCGTAAACTTGCAGACATATTTCCAAAAAGGGAATAGTAATGTAAATTTATTTACTTCGTCGTCGTGTCGTCGTAGCCGACGGGCTCCTTCTACTGCAACGACAAAATTCAAAAATTCGGCCTATCTTCGTTTATAGACTTATTTATTCGTTTTCCTTCATTCTCTCATTCTCCTTCTCATATACTTTGTTTCTTTCTTTCTTTTTAATCTTCACAAACATGAAGGATCAAACATAATCCTCCCTTTTGCTTTTCTTACTTTTCTTATCTCGATCTGTCAATGTTAATCCTATCTATCTATCTAATATGTTTTATCTATCTCATCTTAAACAGAACGTGATTCCAGAGTAAGAAATGTTTTTTATTTTGTATTTTTTTTTTCTTTTTCTTTAAAGTTGGTGTCGAAGGCTAGAAGAAAAAACTTTCTTCCCTCTGATTTTTTATTTTGTTTTTGTTTGTTTGTTTATTTGTTTGTTTGTTTCATTTAACAGTACATCACATAACCCATCCTTTTATTATAGAAGGATACCATAACAGAACTTCGAACACGATGATCTCGTTAAAAATCACATGTTCTTTTCTGCTCTTTCTCTTTTCTATCACATGAAATCATGGATGTCAAATTCAAATTTCTCAGAAATTCTATCATTTTTAATTGAGAGAAAATCTCATTCTAGCACGTATAATTTTTCATTTTTATCTATACTTAAACTTGTAATCTCTCTGTATAAAACTGAATGACACTACTTTCCTCCTTCTCAACCCCCTTTTCTCATCTTCTTACTTCTCCCGTTCTGTTTACGTTGTTCTTACTTACTTACAATCTTCTTCTTCTTCTTCTTCTTTTTTTTTTTTATTATTTTTATTTTCTATTTCAGAAATTGCACTCAAATTGTTTCTTATTCTCTCAGCCATCTTATTTCTCATGCAAAAATTTTCCAATCTTTTTCTTTTCCAATCAAACTGTCACTTC